GTTTATTTATTCATTCACTGAGGATTTTGGGATACTGTAGTCTAAGTCACTGTTCTAGTTGTTGAAGTGAAGTGAACACAATGAACAAGACAAAATTCTGCCTGAATGAAACATTTCCCCTATTTGGCATCTTCCCTTGGCTCATTCCTCACTCAATCTAATCTTTTTTTATGTAGGAGTACTGCTATTTATTCAGCCACTGATTAGCTGATTGAATTGGGCATGAACTCTACCTTACTTTTTTCTCATAATTTTATTTTTTTCTTCTTATATTTATTTATTGAATCGCTGTGGGAAAAGCTACAAAGCTTTCAGGTTTAAGTCTCAGTCATACAATGATCAAACACCTTTCCCTTCACCAGTACTCATTTTTCACCACCAAGAACCCCAATATACCCCCTTCCCAACCCTCCCAATGCCTGTGAGGCAGATGATTTCTACTTAACTCTTCTCTACATTGATTACATTCATTATTTCGACAAAAGATGCACTGTTATTGTTTAGAATTTCTGCCCCCCCCCAACAATCAGAATTGCTGAAAAGGCATTGTGAAATACTTTGTTTTCTATAGCTGGTTATGAGAATCATATAATGTCGTGCGGCCACAGTAGCAGCCACGCGATTTTGGATTTCTGCAAAGAGCCAGATAATTAAGAGATTGGTTTCTGTGCGTCTGGTGTTATGGCTGTGCCAGAGAGCCGCTCGTGGGGGGCAACTAGTGACCTCGGTAGGGCGTGAAGGATGAGCTGGTACCGCCCCCTTCCCATGAGACTGCAGATGCCCCATCACCGCCAGCTCATACCTGGCATACCTGGCTTTCCAATAAGCTCTGAGGCAGCGGCCACCTTGCTGCGGGGGGGGGGGGGCGGGGAGGGGAAATGGCGGAAGGGAGAAACACCTTTTCCCTCCTGGGGAGGCATGGCGCCGTAGTTTAACGCATGGTCCATTCACTTTTCTGCCACAAGCTGCCGGGCTCTGGATTAAGTCCTTTTGACTCTGGAGCCATGGCCGTGCCAGAGAGCCACTCATGGGGGGGGGGGGGCAACTCGTGACCTCGGTAGGGCGTGAAGGACGTGCCAGTACTGCCCCCCTTCCCATGAGACTGCAGTTGCCCATCGCCGCCGGCCATACCTGGCTTTCCAATAAGCTCTGAGGTGGTGGCCACCTTGTATGTGGTCCGGATGCATTTCTGCCAAAAGCCGCTGGGTTTCGAGATTTGTTTCTGAGTCTCTGGGATCATGGTCATTAATCAGCTTTATCAGGAGCCATAGAGACCGTTTGTAGGTGACGACTCGGGGTCTCGCTGGGATGGGGAGGAAAGGGCTGGTTCCACCCCTGTCTAATGAGGCCCCACGTGTCTCATCACTGCAGGCCCAAACCTGACTGTCCAGTGGCCTCTGGAGGATGGCGGTCACTGGGCCGCCAAGGGGAACAGGCCAAGGCACGAAACCTATTCCCACCTGGAGTGGCCCAGCGCCAGTAACCTACTGCAGGGACTGGACGCATTTCTGCCAAAAGCCACTGGGTTTCAAGATTTGTTTCTGAGTCTCTGGGATCATGGCCGTTAAGCAGCTTGATCAGGAGCCAGAGACGCCATGCCTCTAATTATATAGCTGAGCCAAAGGTGGTTTGTGGCTGTGTCTCCCGCATACCTAACTTTTGGCCGTTTACTTTCTTGGTAAACTTTGCCCCAAGTTTTTGGGTTCTGGCCAAAGGCATAGCAGCAATTATGGGGTATCTGAAAGTCTGACGGTGCCATCAGGCTGCTGATGCACTCGCCTCACAGGTACAGATTGACCTGCTGGCGGCACCATACCCCCATAAATCTAATCTTTGATTCCATCTTTTCTACATTGTAAAATAAGATTTAAAAAATATACATATTTCTTCTAAAGCATGGTAGGACAAAAACTTTTAAGAATATATTTATAAAGATCATACTTGTAAAATATCGACATATTGAATACTCTCGGTAGCTTGCCGGGCTCTCCGAGAGGGGCGGAGGAATCGAACTCGGGTCGGCCATGTTGGCTGCGTGCAAGGCAAACGCCCTACCCGCTGTGCTATCACTCCAGCCCCCGAGAGTATTCGATATGCTAGACACAGTAACAACAAAGTCTCCAATGGAGACGTTACTGGGCCCGCTTGAGCAAATCGATGATCAACGGGAGGGCCTTTACTTTACTTTACTTTTATACTTGTAAAATAATAAAGAAAAATTCCAAATAAGGAGTTAAAGTGAAAGATTAATGTCTCAGGATATTATTAAATAATTACAAATTATGTTAGTGATAGATTTTTATTTCTGTCAGGAATAGCACATAGGTTGGACTGTTTACATTTTTATCTCAATTTACTGAGTATGCATGTATCTGGATTTATATATATCTGGATTTGTCTGCAAAAGTGAGTGAGAATATAGAAAAGACTGGAAGGCAATACACCAAAGTCTAAACAATTGTCATTTACTGAATAGTTAGTGTAATGTCATTGTCTTGGTTTTCTATCTTTTTAATTAATAAGCATTTCTTATTTTTAAAGTGCAATGTATATGCCTACTCTGTAGAGGTATTGATACAGGATTTGGAACAATTTTGATCATAGCATAAAAAATGCAGTGTTTATAAATAAAATAGGTATACATATTTGTGCTATCTCTCCAGCCGGAGCTATAGCACAGTGGGTAGGGTGTTTGTCTTGCATGCAGCCAACATGGCCGACCCGAGTTCGATTCCTCCGCCCCTCTCGGAGAGCCCGGCAAGCTACCGAGAGTATCTCGCCCGCATGGCAGAGCCTGGCAAGCTACCCGTGATGTATTCAATATGCCAAATGCAGTAGCAACAAGTCTCACGTAGGAGATGTTACAGGGCCTGCTCGAGCAAATCGATGAACAACGGGAAGACCGTGACTGTGACATATTTGTACATGTGTGTAAGTAAGTGAATGGCCAATTCTTTATTTTGCATGATTTACTTTTCATCCCATTTTCCTTTTCATTGTCATGCAAATGAGCCACAGCTCTCCATAGCTAGTTGAGTACCTATCATGTATAATAATAGAGTAGGAAAAATATATGTATTTATTTAATGTATGAAGATAAGCCTGCTGATAGTAAAAGACAGTACCAAGAGTTGAGACTCAAACAGAAAAATATTTTTATCATCCTCTCCTTTGATTTATCTGCATTCCTGACTTGCTATGGATAAAGAACACTTACTCTGTAACCGTTTATTTAGCACTAGTTTTGAATATTGATGTAGAATCATAGTAGCTAATAAAATGAATTTATCAAGACGAAGACTCCCATTTTGAAAATAAATGACTGCTCTTTTCACGGCAATAAGTGGTTGGAGGCTAAATGTCTTCTGTTTTGACATTATCTGCTTGCAATTCGTTACCAATACTTTAGCTATCTATTAAATTGAAAGTACCTATTCGTGCATCCTGGAGTGTATCACAGCATGGCATGCAGTGATGGAAATAACTAATAACTAACAAAAAATAACTGAATTAACCTGTTTGGGAGGGGACACAGAATGAATTAGAATCTCTATTAGGTAAAACTGATTTGTGATAATATATCTGGGGAGAAAGAAGCTGTTAGTGTTTCTGACATCTGTGCTCCAACAGAAATACAACACAGGTAATTGTACTATTTATTAGTCTAGAAAATATGAACATTAACAAAGATAATTCTATTCCATTCTCTTTTAGCATACAGAATCTATACTCATCTCTGAGATATAGGCCTTGAATAGTCTGTGTAGCTATTTTCCCAGTATTTAATCCACTTCCATTATAGCCATAGACCTCCTCCATATGTCATTTTCTCTTCCAATAAGGAGATAATGTGGAACATGGTCTGACATTTCTCATCACATCAAATGCAGTACAACTGAATACAAACTCAAGCCATCAAAGATATAGGATTATATCTCAATTATTTTCTGGAACTGGGTTCTGAAAAGACTTATCCAATGTGAGATTAAGTATTAGACACTGAATTAAATTCACACTCCTGTAAAATTGAAGCCAATGGCTGGCTGTACTCAGTAAAAGGGGGATATACACATAGGCATACTTGTTGGGGTGCCAGGACATTTTATTAGTAGGGCATTTATCATTACCTACATAAGCAATATATATGAATGCAGAGATACTGCCTTATATGAAAATAGTTTACATATTCATTATTATTTGAGACACTACAAATTATTTTTGTCCCTGATATCCATCTTACACATCTCTGTCAACCTAGCACATTTTCACTATCTTGGATGACTCCACTGTTCCATTTCCAATATTCTGTATCAATGTGTTATATACTCATGTTGTACATTTGTTACATATAATTATTGACACAGAGATTTTGTGTACATTTCTCGGGGATTAGTTTACACTTTTCATACTGTACATGACTTCACTAAAAATCTGAATCATAATAGTGTGACCAGTGAATACAGCCTAAGTTGCATCAACCTTACTCCAATTCTTATAAGTTGCATGTCTCATAAACAACAAAAGTCAAAAGCCTTCAAGGGAGGCCATAGAGATAGTGCAAGGGATAGGCTTTGCATGCAGTCAACCCCATTTCAGTCCTTAAAACCACATGTGGCCCCCTAAGTACCACCAGGAGCAATCCCAGAGCACAGGAGAAGGTTATAAGTAACACCAAATGACTTCCCAAAACACAACTACCCCTCCATCCCCATCAAGCACTCAGGACTTCTTAGAATTCCTGAGCCATGTTTTTCCCTCTACTTCTTCCACTTCCCTCTCAGCTCAGATTCTTCTTTTCCCTGGTTCATCTCATTATGGAAGTCTTCCATGTCCTCAGAGCCCCCAATCTCTCAAACTTAGCTCTCAATTCTCTTACTGCATCTGTGTCTCCAGTGGTGCCACAGCACGGCAAACATGTCTGTCTGTACCAAATCCCCCAACCTACAAGACATTAGAATAATCTCTCAGGTCACTTGTTGCCAAATGAAAAGATTTCTTACCTTTGGCAGAGAAGCCCTGGAACCTGAACTCTGGGTTGTCATTGTTAAGACTGTGGTGATGCCCAGTGCAACTCTGGCAGGGGCAGCATCCATATTTATCCAGAAGGAGACCCAGGACAAGATGACGATCAATAGGCTAGGGATGTACATCTGGATCAAATAATATCCCATTTGGCGTTCCAGGTGAAATTTAACTTCAATGCAGGTAAACTTTCCTAGAAAACAGGAAGTGATGGTTTAATGACCATTTTGAATGTATCTTTCCCATCCCAGCCTCCTACTTAATTTTTCATAAAAGACTATTACAAATTTGGAAGATGCAGAAAACGCTTGCCCTGTGTACCCAGTTCAATCTTTTCCCAACCCAACCAGCAATAGTATCAGAATGAGTAATTCAAAGAGACACTGGACCTAAGTCATGTGGCATATTTAATTTTCTAAATATGTGCTTGTGGCAGCTTGATTTATTTAGACATAGTTTCATATTTGCAAGATTGTGAACTTGGGCAGTGGAAATAAAATGCTTGCGTTTTGTGGAGTTACAATAGGTAATAAATTATAGAATATAGCATATATGACATAGATATATAGCATATACTTTCCAGTTTGTTTTATATATATACTCCAGTGATTGGCATGCATTTTTTTTCCTTTTTGGGTCACACCTGGTGAATCATAGGGGTTACTCCTGGCTTTTCACTCAGGTATGTGGGATGCTGGGAATCTAACCCAGGTCAGCTGCATGCAAGGAAAACACCCCACCCATTTTACTATCGCTCCAGCCTTGGCATACATTATTTAATGGCTGAAATAACTCCTTCCTGTGAGTCAAATTTGTGTAGGGCCCCTAAGGTTTTTGGATAATTTGTATCTGTTGGTGTGCTCTCTATAGCAAGAATACATCTAATATAGTCATAATCACGTTGTTGTCTTTGAGTAATTGCTTGAAGTCAATCCGAATGTTCCTAGAAACTGTTTACAGTGTTATAGTGTCTATAAGTTGCCTAAAATTTTAACCTACAAGAGATTAACTGTTCTTAGACCTTTCCACTTTCTTTGATTGATTATGAGTGAGAATTCCACAAGGTAATTTGGTTTAGACCACAAAAAATAATGGGAAATGGGACTGAATTCCTCTTGGTGAGAAAGAGAGCCTTGAAATCAAGTTTTTTTTTTTTTTATTTTATTAGTGCGACACCATGAGGTACAGTTGTAGACTTACAAATTTTTGTGCTTGGGTTTCAATTACACAATGATCAAATACCCATCCCTCCACCAGTGCCCATTACCCACCACCAGTATCCCTCCAACCTCCCACCCCCCATCCCACCCTGCCTCTGTGACAGGGCATTCCCTTTTGTTCTCTCTCTCCTATTGGGTGTGGTGGTTTGCAAAAGAGGCAATGAGTGGCAATCATGTTTGGTCTATAGTCTACTTTCAGAAATCAAGTTTTTAAGACTTTAAACTTTTAAAGGTTATTACAACCTTTAGAGCCCTCAAATCAAGTTGCTTTATAGGAAGTTTTGCTGACTGCTAGAATAAGTGTTTATGAACAACTCTACTCAGCAATGGAGTAGTCACTGAACAGACCAGCTTGTCTTGATTGCCTCTCCATGGTCAGCTTGTGTGGTATCATGACTGTAGCACTGTCCTCCCATTGTTCATCGATTTGCTCGAGCGGGCACCAGTAACGTCTCCATTGTGAGACTTGTTGTTACTCTTTTTGGCATATTGAATATATATATATATATATATATGTATATATATATATAATATGCCACAGAGAGGTTGCCAGGCTCTGCCATGCAGGCAGGATACTCTCGGTAGCTTGCCGGACTCTCTGAGAGGGACAGAGGAATCGAACCTGGGTCAGTCGCGTGCAAGGCAAACGCCCTACCCGCTGTGCTATTGCTCCAGCCCAGTGAATGTATCACAACATTCATCAGGAAAGCTACCAACTTTACTTGGAAGGCATAATCTTCTAGGGAAAAAAATGGTCACTTACACCCCAAATTTCACTCCTCCTCTATTCTGTGTGTTTTTCAGCAGCACTTTAAAGCCAGTGGAATTCCCCTCCACTGATATTTTATTCCAAACATGTGAGCATCCAGGATTGGAGAGCACAATGTCACACTTAGTTTACATGACCCCATCACAGTGTTACTCTCTCCCACTAAAACAGAGAGTGAAAATTGACAAGAAAATTCAATGTTAATGGCTAGAGAGGTAGCTCATCTGGCTGGTGTGCATGCCTCGCATGCAGAAGGCCCAGGTTTGGTCCATGGCATTGCATAAGCCCAAGAGCACAAAGCTTAGATTAATCTTTGAGCACTGTCAAGTGTGTTTCATAAACAAACAAAAGGATCAATGGCTAGAATGGACACTAATAGCAGGTCAAATTTTACACTTTTCTGTACTACTTATAAAGTGTCATAATTTTTCTTGGACTCTGACAAAAATGCTGACCAAGAGAGGAGCAAAAATAACCACTTGGCTGGAGCGATAGCATAGCGGGTAGGGCGTTTGCCTTGCACGCATCCAACATGGCCGACACAGGTTCAATTTCCAGCATCCCATATGGTCCCCCGAGCACCGCCAGGAGTGATTCCTGAGTGCATGAGCCAGGAGTAACCCCTGAGCATCGCCGGGTGTGACCCAAAAAGCAAATAAATAAATAAATAAATAAATAACCACTAAATCTCTCTTCCTTCCCTTTATGTTCTGGAAAAATTATTTGATATCCTTACTGACCTATTCCAGTTGGTATAACCATCATATCTATTTCATTTTTGGAGGGAGAGTGAAGTGATGGACCATATACAGAGGTGCTCAGGGCCTATTCCTGACTCTGTGTCCATGAGAGACTCTTGGGGGTGGTGTTTGGAGGACCATATGTAGTGCTATGGATGGAATTTGGGTTCATCTGCATGAAAGTCAAATGTATTCACCTTTTCACTATCTGGCCTTTCCATCTTATCTATTGAGGAGGTTATGGGTCAACTCTGAGTCAATTTAGATGACGGGACATATACCCCAAGCTGCAGATGGAAACCAATTGCTTAGCATCTGGACAAATCTTACCAGTGTTGTAGTGCTTTGTGCAGTAGCCAAGCTCCTTTTCTTCTTTCAAAATAAACTGGGGCAGAGTCAATCCTTCAGCCACTTGAACTGGACCATCACTTAGCCACTCAAATATCAGGTCATTCATTGTGTACCCAACTGTAGTAAATAGATCATAGTGAACAATTGAATGCATATTTCTAAGAAAGCTGGGAGATTAAACCATGAAAAAAAACAAGCATAGAAATAATATACAGCAGACTTGTTCGATCAATTCAAGTGAATTTTTTGTACAAAAGCTGCTATCATTGTCATTACTATATGTCATTGGACTCAAAGAAACTGAAGATAGCAAGCTGTTTCTGATTACTTTTCTGCATAATGAGAGAATTGAATCTATAAAGTATATTTTCTTTTGCCCTCTTCGAAGATTCACTCTTTCTGAAGAACAAACAAACAAAAAACCTTCTATGTTCTTTCTTTGAAAGAGTTGTGTCTATGGCAATTCAATATAACTATGCAATTCATGACACCAATCTTAGTTTTACAAATGAATTTGACTTTATTTTTTTACAAATGAATTTGACTTTATTTTTTTCAAACTTTTTAAAAATAAGCCGCCATGATTTGCATAGTTATTCCCAGTTGGATTTTAGACATATAATGTTGTATCACTGATCCCACCACCAGTATCAACTGTCAACTTTTCTCCGCCAGCATTCCCAGGTTCCTTGTCCTATCCCCCTACCCCGTGTCCCAGCAGCCTGCCATCTTGGCAAGCACTGAAAAAGCATATTTAATTAAAAGAAAATTCCCCCTGAATACTGGCAGGTATATTCCTGGTGGTGTCCAATACTGTTGAACCCCAGAAGTATCTAATCACAGGGTCCAAGCATTAAAATATCAGGACTGCATAATTAGCTCCAAGTATCACCATTGGGGCCTCTAAACACTGAGGAGAACCAGCCATCCACATGAGAATGAAATAATCACAGACCTGATTAATGTATCACTATGCAAACATGATGTTTGCTGGGGTCTGTAAACTTTGACTACGAAATGATTATATTAAAGTCTTTATGTTACTCCTTGGTTACTTTAGCACTTAACCCTAAAGAAACTTGTGAATTATATAAATCTAGTATATTCATTTGTGCTAGTGTCTTCTCCGGTAGACTTCTTCATAACAATGATTAATATGAAGTAAGACAGCCTCTCTGTTATATAAGGTCATATTGTTATATGACTCTTGAATCATCCATGGTAAAGATGGCTATCAGTTTATTGACCATAGTCACTCTGTTAGTCTCTAAGCTGCGGATAACTAGGCCATTGTTCGTCCAGTATTTCTGGAACCTTTTATACCCCAGAGATGAAGGCTGCAAAAGGCACATTAAAAATGCTCCATATCACTAATCATGAGGGAAATGTAAATCAGAACAACAATTAGATAACATCTCATGCCACAGAGACTGGCACACTTCAAAAAGAATAAGAAGAACGAGTGCTGGTGCAGATGCAGAGAAAGAGGGACTCTCATTCACTGCTGGTGGGAATGCCAATTAGTCCAGCCTTTGGGGCCACAATATGGCCCAAGTAATCCCCCACACTACAGGGCCAAAGCAGCACTGCATCTTTGGACCCTAGCCCAGAACCGTAAGTCTAGTGACCATGATCTCTGGGAGGGACACCAAGAGAACTTTCTGCCTTTAACACCCAAAGTTAGTGGTAAAGACATCACATCTTTGCTGCTTTGATTTCATCCTATCTAGGTCCTACACAGACCAAGGAGATTTACTAATTGGTGTTTTGTAAGCCTCAGAGGAACCTTAGATGACAGAGATATTTGCTGTTTTAAACAGAAAATGTGTGCGTTTGAGGCAAGGGAGAATTTGAGACTGCAGAGAAGACACAAAGAAGGAATCATTATGTAAAAAATGCTTTTTAAACTTCTCTAAAGAAAGGGCAATGGGAAAAAAGAATACACAAAGCTTATTGCCAAGCATAAATTCATATTTTATCCCCGACAATGTCTTAAAACAAAGACATTTCATTATTTTTTGGTATAAAGTTTTAAAGGAATTCAACAGTGACTTTTAAGTGATCAGAAGAAAACCCTGTCACTGCCTTTTTTTAAGTTGACATGTATTTTAACATTTATAATTTTTCTAAAACAAGAATTTATAGTTGTCACTTACTTTTCTAAATCAAGAATTTATAAGTGTTGCTTATTTTTCTAAACCAAAATATAAAAGTGTTTCCTTGTCTCTGCCTCATTAATCTCCTAGCATGTAGGTCAGTCGCACTTACTATTCACTGCCTTTTACGAATAGAAAAATGGATGAAACAAGCCAAGAAAAACTCATGTCTCTTGACAGAAAATCCCATTATAGTAAATCTTCACTTAACACCATTGATAGATTCTTGGAAACTCTGGCTTTAAGCAAAAAGACATATGAATAAAACAGGTCACTCAAAAATGTCATTTCATGCAATGTTGTTTTGTTATAATATTTTGTTGATGAGGGGAAGTGTCCCAGCCTACATTGAGCAGACTGATGTTATTCAAGAACCTGCTGTACTTTTAAAACGTCATTAATTTATGGCATATGTCAAGGATATCTGTGACTTCAAAGCTACGGGACCAAGTAGAAAGCGTTTGCCTACTTTCTTCACCCTATCTTTGTGTACTACTATTTATCTAAGGGACAGATGCCTAGATGCCTCTCTCTAGAGTCTGTCTTACTCTACCTTATTCCATGCCTTTGATCCTCTTCTGGCTAAGACACCTGTCTCTTTTCCTGAAAACAATTACCACTTCTTGCAAGAATTCTTTTGGGAATAAAGGCATATAATCATAGACCATCAATGATATTATTACATTATATTATAACTCTATGAACTTTTCTAGTATGTCTATAAGCCATGGCTAATATCTCCTTCCATACATAAGATGGAAAGAAACACAATTTCTGATTAGAGAATGCTTTATTTAGAAGTTGAACAACTAAAAATTTTCCCAGGAAACATTTTCATTCAGAGAAAAAGTTTCTAAATCGGGATTACTTTTTGAGGAAGGGTGAGTTATTTGTCATTTAAGTTTGTAAGATCGTCCATTCTATATTGAATATCCCCTCGGAAAGACCAGTAAGCTACCAAGAGTATCCCGCCCACATGGCAGAGCCTGGCAAGCTCCCCGTGGCATATTCGATATGCCAAAAACAGTAACAATAACGAGTCTCATTTTCCTGACCCTGAAAGAGTCTCCAATATGGTACCGTTGGGAAGTACAAGTAAGGAGAGGCTGCTAAAATCTCAGGGCTGGGATGAATGGAAATGTTACTGGCACCCGCTCGAGCAAATAGATGAACAACAGGATGACAGTGATACAAGGATACAGTGATATTGAATATAATCTCTATTTCATACACTTTTGCTCATCCCCGTAGGAACATTGGGGACTGTGAAGTAGGTAGAGAATGAGTCTCAAGGAACATATTTTTAAACATCACACACCAAAGGCGCCAAATCATTGGTACAAACAAGCAGGCAGGTATTTCAACAAGTAGGACTTACAACTTTCCAGCTGCATTGTGCATGTCTGGACATCCATTGGAAAGTTCTTCAAGTCCATGGGACAGGATAAGGTCAAGGTGAGTCTTGGAAAAGAAAAGGGGGAAAAATTAAGCCTGTGAGGTCTGATTTTTAAGAAACAAATCAAACCTCATTTGTCATTAAGTAAAGTAAAACGAAGTCCAAAAATAAAGTCAAAGGTGTAAGGTCAATACTTTCTACTTTTCAAATGAACTCTAGGCATTGACAAATTTTAAAATTTATAGAATTCCATTATTCTTTTACCACCTTCCAACCTGATGGCCTTGGTCTTGGGTGTATTATAGAATCAAGCATGGCTCCCTTCTGTTTCCTCTTTCTGCTTCATTCTAAATATTTTCCATGAGATGAAGCAAAAAATGTAGTGAGTGTTTGTCATATTTTAAGGTGAGCGTTTGGCAGACTCAACAACACTGGAAACATGAATCTAAGCTGCAACCACCAAACTTTGTAATGTTCTGTCATAGTGGCAGGTGGGGCTGGAGTAGGAATGTGGAGTATGGGAGGGAAGTGGGCACGGGTGGTGGGATTGGTTTTGAAATATTATATGCCTAAAACTCAACTATCAATAACTTTGCAAATCACAGTTCTTTTTTTTTAAATTTTATTAGTGAGACTTTTTAAAAAAATTTTATTAGTGAGACATTGCGGTAAAAAAATATTTAATAAAAAAAGAGACAGTGTTTGGGATTTAAAGTGATATTAGACAAAGAACACATGCTGATGATTTTCAAAATCATTAAAAAGAACAAAAGCAAGATACAAAACATTGCAGTGTAATCCCAATTATATAAAAAGATGTTTTCAATGCTGGTTATAGACACATTAGCATATTAATAGTGGATATTTCTGGTTGAGGAGATGATTCAGAATTTTTTTTCTCTTTATTTAGCCTATGTTATTGTATTAGTAAGTATAGGTTATTTGAATCTCTTTCTCCATGTTATTAAACATACTGTTCTTTTTTTTTTTTGCTTTTTGGGTCACACCCAGCGATGCTCAGGGGTTACTCCTGGCTCTGTACTCAGGAATCACTCCTGGCGGTGCTCGGGCGACCATATGGGATGCTGGGAATTGAACCCGGGTCAGCCGCATGAAAGGCAAACGCCCTACCCATGCCTACCCATGGTGCTATCACTCCAGCCTCTAAACATACTGTTCTTTAAGTAAGAGCTGAAATGTATAATTATAAAATTCTATCTTATTTAGTAATCTTTTGCTATTATGGCAATCATATCATTATTGTAGTTAAACTTTTGTCATAAACATACAGTATATTATCTTCTTCCTAAATCAATTATGTAGCCTCTCTGGGATACTGACATAGCACAAACAGCATGTTTCTAAAGGAAAAATAGCTGTGAAGTTTTAAAAACTGAGTTAGAAATATCAGTTTAGTCGGAAAACATTTTTGTTAACTGAATAGTTCATTTCAAGATTAAGATACAGACAACTGGATTATTTTCTCAGTATGAATAATTTATACTTTGGAAAGATTATTGACATTAATGCCATGGACATTTTTAAGTGCAGAGTAAATGAATGCATGTGAAACTACTTAGTTACCAAGATTTTTTAAAAAATGTGGTATTTTGTTAAGGCAGAAGAATAAACCCCAAAGGATCTATGAATTTAAAATTGTTACTAACAAAATGACAATCTATTTATTTTTCAATTTTTAAATAAAATGAATGTTTTTAGAACCAGAGAGATAGCACATCAAGCAACCCCTCTGCCTTGCACATGACATACCTGGGTTTAATTCCCAACACCGAGTATCCTCCCATAGCCCTGCAAAGAGTGATCCCTGAGTACTGAGCCAGGACTGAGTCCTGAGCACCACCAGGTGTGGCTTTTCTCCACCCTCAGAACATAAATCATTTTAAAAGGGAATATTTTAATAATACAAAAATATGTTAATTATGCAAAACTATCAAGGGGCATATGCATAATTTTCTGAAGTGAATCAAAACCAAAATATCTGGAAATATCATTATGATTTGGAAAAGTTTACTCTTGATATCTCAGAAAGTGATCATGAAAATGAACTAAGCTTGAAACCACACACTATGGCTTTCAACTATAATGTGCTTACTGCTGGAAACAAATTAACTTTTAGCATTTTTAGACATAGTATTGCTAAATATGATTTTTTAGCAAACTTGTTACACTTATGTAGGGAAAAGAGGCCTGATGCATGATCAATTTTGCCTTTGTGGTAGATCTGTCCTATAGAAACTCAGAACATTGGGGTTAAAACTATAGTATGATAAAGTAACAAAATAGGAGACTAACACCCAAGAATGGCTGAGATTAGTACCAAGAATTTTACTCCATGACTTGGAAGCCAGCCACACATGCTAGGGGGAAAGGGAACTCAGATAGAGAAGGGAGCACCAAATAAAAGGTGTTGGGAGGATCCTCCCAGGATGGGAGAAGCATGCTAAAAGTAGACTATAGACCAAACATGATTGCCACCCATTGCCTCTTTTGCAAACCACAACACCCAATAGGAGAGAGAGAACAAAAGGGAATGCCCTGCCACAGAGGCAGGGTAGGAGGGGGGAATGGGGGGTGGGAGGGATACTGGGATCCGTGGTGGTGGGAAATGGGCACTGGTGAAGGGATGGGTATTTAATCATTGTATAATTGAAACCCACAAAAATTTGTAAGTCTACAACTGAGCTGGAGCGATAGCACAGCGGGTAGGGCGTTCGCCTTACACGCAGCCAACATGGCCGACCCGAGTTCGATTCCTCCGCCCCTCTCGGAGAGCCCGGCAAGCTACCGAGAGTATTGGATATGCCAGACACAGTAACAGCAAAGTCTCCAATGGAGACGTTACTGGGCCCGCTCGAGCAAATCGACGATCAACGGGAGGGCCTTTACCTTTACAACTGTACCTCATGGTGTCTCACTAATAAAAATTAAAAAAAACCCTATAGTATGAAAATATCATTGAGAAAATCTCAACAAGCTTCTAAGTACCCTGAATTTTGTCTCAACTGAAAACTCACTTGATATTTTTTTCCTCCAGATTTTTCCCCAATTTCCTTGCTAGCTGGGCTTTTGTATTAAAACAGAATGGGTGACAATAATGAGAAGGAAAGTTAGCACTCCAGAGGTTACTAAATCATGTGATCAACTGAGCAATGTGAAGAAGTTGTAAAGATCTAATCAGTCCCTTTATGGGCTGTAGAAGCCATAATTTATGATGCCTACCTAGTATACAACACATCTGTCAGCCTAAAATCCAGACTTGTCCTCTATTTATTTCCCCATTTTTCTTCCTCTAGTGTATATTCTTAAGATAGTAGAGATACAAAACTCCCTTAAAATTTAATTATCATTTTTAAAATGATTTAACATTTTAATTTAAGTTCCATGATTTACAGTACTGTTACTGGTAGAGTTTTATGGGTGCAACACTCTAGTGACACCCTCCAGCAAAGCCCTCACTTCCCATCCCTCTGATGGTCACAGGTCCATCCCCGCATCCTATATCCCCCCACCCCACAACTCAGTTCTGTACACCAGTTTTCTGTTTCTGTTCCTTTTGCACATTTGTTACTTCCTTACTATGTCCCTTTATATCCCACATATGAGGGAGATCATTCTGTAGTTGTCCCTCTCCTTCTGGCTGACCTCATTCAATATGATATTCTCTAGATCCTTCCTTGAGAAATGCACAAATCCTAAATCACAGCATAGTGACATTACATCTCCACCCACCCTGGTTTAGAACAGTCTTATCACCCCAGAATGCTTTCCTTCTGCTCTCTCCCCCATCAGGAACCTCCCAAAGTAAGCACCACAGGGATGGGAAATAAACCCACTCCACTCGCTTCACAGCTCTTAAAGTTTAAATGATAGCCACAGGCACTGGAAGCTATCTCAATGACCTCAAATATTTTTGAATCGAATATTAAAAATGCTATTTTGATTAAATTAAAGCTATTTTTATTAAATAAACAAAAATAAACCAAAAAACCCAGCATAGGACAGAAACAACATACATCAGTATACTAAATAGGTGAGTGATTTTTATCTCCTTTTGGTGGGTCTCACTGAATTAAGAATTCTAATTGAAACTCCAACTGTTTTGTTAGCAGACACTGCCTACAGCATGTCAGATGTTCTTCCCTCTTCCCCTGGATCTGAAATATTAAGGTCATTGTACCTGAAGGCAGTGGACTGAAGCCACCTATATTCCATTTGCTTTTTGTTAAGTAACTCATTTCCTGAAGCATTATCACACATCCCTGCAATGTCATTGTGGCAGATATACTTGCGTCCAGGGTGGCCCTGATTCTGTTCTCACAAGGTAAAGAGTAAAATTCCCTTACAAGGGCCCTGCTTCTTTCTTTACAAGAGAGTAAGAAAGCCCAAAATTTTTATTTTAAAGGCAAGAGAATAAAACAACACAAGAAGTTAGTTTCCCCAAATCTCACCTTTCTTGTCCTTTGTCTTCCTTTTTGTTTTTCTATTCATTCCACCCTCCTCACAAAACCAGTTCTTGAAGCTTAACTGATAGCTGCAGACATTGTAAGCTATTTCAGTGATCTTAACTATTCTTGAATCTAATATTATGTTATTCATTTATTTTTTTCCTTTACTACAATGCAGCACCTATAAAAGATACACTCTTACTTTCTTAAAGAGTGCAATGCGTGAATAAACATTTGTGCAGTAATGAATAAGTCAATGTCCAGAAGCTCCAGGGGAGAAGATCAGGGTTTCATCCTATAGATTAAGAAACTGGAAGAAAGGGGCCTGGGTATCAGAGCCTATAGGATTTGCCCAATGACAAGAGTCTCAAAGGAAACCAGCAAGGCTTATTTCCATTACAAATAGCTACGCAAGGTGAGCTGAAGGGAAACTTGGTCCACCTGTCCTCAAGCCTTGGTTAGGCAGTAGGTTCATGGCCAGAACTTTTCTCCCAATTGCTAGAAGGATAGAAGTCAGTCATTTCCTGTTACTGTGTTAAACACATCCAGCTCTTTACTTGATTGCGATGGGCAAATAGTTCATAAGGAATGTCATACTA